ATGAGCATAATTTACCTCTGCATAGTTAGAAGTGCTGTAGCTAGGTTTCTCTACCAACACCTTGCGAGAAACAGATTCTTGTTCCTTACTATCTTCAAATTGAGCTGGTAACTATATAAATACAAATATATGTTTGTAATATTTTTTTTGCTTGTTTTTAATCTGCAGCCATACTGCGTAAGTATTTTACCACTTACCAACAACTCGCTTGAAGGCAAAGCATCATCCCGCAGCCTTGTAACATTTAAAGTTCGATTAAAACATTTTTCTTCAAAATGTACGAACAAATAAAAATGTGTTTAGTTTTGGTGTTGAGGTTTTCTACACCAAGTATATTCAGCCACTTTTTTTTGTTTCTCACACTTTGGTAATCTAAAACCACAAAAAAAGAAATCCTCTTTAAATAGGAACTATTGATCTATCGATATATGGATATATTGAAAATGCCGAACGTACTGATTTTCGATCATTAAATAATGATAGAAAAACACTAGATCATAATGATTTCTTATATTTATGCGAACACTACACATTTAAATAATATTAATTTTTTAGGGATTTTATCGCGTATATTAACATTAGATCATTATGGAATAGAACTAAGTTACTTACCTATGCAAAGTAATATTTTGATGTGTGTTCTTGTTTTCCATCCAGCAGCTTACTACACTGCACCTGCCCATGATAAATGTAGTCCTCTACTAGTTTTAAAATGCACAATTTTCTCATAAAACGCATAAAACATTAAATTTTCTTAAACATTTGAAAACAAACTAGTCGCTATGACAACTGATATACTTGTCATTGACTGTGACAAAACATGGCGACCGGCCGCAGCGAAAAAATTGTTGTCATATTCGGTAATGATAAAAGTAATGTTGTCCTTTTTACATACGAATACACTCATGAGCTAAAAAAAGACGCCGTCATTTCGTTACATTCCTACAACTAACGACATTTATGTCATGTCCTTTCTTTTTTCTCTAGTAAAAGACATCTAGTATTCTTTCTTGCCCATGGAAACATCATCAAAAATTTAGTGATTATATACTCTTTGATCCTCATTTCGACTTTAACATCAAAACTTTTTGCAATGAACGGCCTTCCTCGCATGTCTCTGAAATACCTAAATTTGAATCAGTTTCTGCGAAAGTTCTAGTCTAGCCATTATGTATATCTAGAACTCCTAGATATAAATAATGGCCACTAATTCAGTGGCACTTTTATTTTTGGTGCCCTTTGGCTTAGGCGATATATTGACAAAAAAACAAATTTGCAGTTGAATGACACTAACAATACGATTTGGATTAACTGATTCAACGAAAAAGTAAAGTAACATAGTTTGAAAAAAAAAACATCTTTAAGCCTTCTTTTTTAAGATGGTCGTTAAGTCTCGTAATATCACAGTCACTTTGACTTAAAGAGACAGCATGAGACTTAACGGCATACTAAAAAAGAGCAGCGTTTGAGTATTTGGTTATAACTATTTGTATATGTATATTTGTTTTGGTTATAACTAACTACGTACATACAGTCTACCGTTTGGTTCAATCCAGAACACCTACCGTTAATTTCGCATAAAAATCTCGGGGTCATTATTCCCGGAATCAAACCGGGGCCCAACCCTATTTTTTTTTTTTTTTTACGGGGGGGAAATCCTCATGGACTGCCTCTGCCTGGGGACTGGCGGAGGGGTGTGTCGGACTCTTACCGGCTAAAACCACCCCGGTGTCTCCTCGCACGTGCACGTGCGGGGCCGCGGGAATCCAAATTCTTCCGCAGCCCCACACTAGTGCTGGCCCGGTCTGTACGGGCCTCGTCTCCTGCACGGGGTAGTGAGGTGTTCAACTACCCCCCTGTATCACCCCAGAGACACGCGCCGACACCCACGCGTGCCTCCGCCTCGGGTCCATAGAAAGGGGGGCGGGGGCTTCCCCTAGTCCCTCGGCCCTGGACTTATTCATGGGGGCTGGAAAAGGGCGTTGTCCGCCCTTCTCCTGCGCCCGGTGCGCCTTCTGCGGCCAGGGAAGGGAGTCGAGATCTCCCTCTCCCGTTCCGCAGTTTCCTTCTGCGACATCACGTCCTCACAGAAGGACACCACTGCATCCCACGATTCTGCGCTACCGACCATACTCCGCACCAAGGCCGACAGCGACAAATCGCCTCCTACTTCATTTGTGAGGACACGGCGCTGCTCCTCCCAAGCTACACACTCGGCGAGCGTGTGTTGCACCGTGTCCTCCCCGCAATGGACGCAGTGGTGGCACCGAGCGTACGGCTCCCTGTCTATGCGGCACAGGTACTTGCCAAAGCAGCCGTGCCCCGACAGCACCTGCGTCACCCTAAACGACAGGGAGCCGTGCCTTCTCCCGAGCCAGTCGTCGAGTACTGGCCGGATCGCCTCGACGATAGCGAGGCCGGCGGTAGGGCGCAGAAGCCTTTGCCGCCATTCCGCCACCAAGACCTGACAGAGCTCCTCTCGGCGCAGCGCGATCTGGGCCCAACCCTATGGCCCAACCAATAAGCTTTGCGAATTCTTGACTAAATATCTGTAATCACATTGACTTAAATTTAAAGATACTTTCCGAGCTCTAGGTGATGAGACCTTGTCAACTGAGGGACCATATTTCGAGGGCTGCTGTTTTTTATATATTATTTTTGCAATTTCCAGGATTCTTTCTACAATAGTTTTAGGCCTACTACTAAATCCTTAGCGGTTCATTTCGTGAATTCCCAGATTGATCGGGTTATTTCGTTTATCCATCCTAAAAAATCCATCCTAGGGTGGATACTCGGAAACGCGTGATCGTTTATCGTAATTTCTATATTATTTTTCGTCCAATTTCCTTCCTCGCCTGTGAACAGTGGTTTATTAATTAAACATGATGGCTGTCCTATCAGTATCACCATCAGCCATCACATAATACGTGGTGGCTGTTTATTAAATCTTTTTTCAATAATATGACGGCGTTTGTAAAATGCTATGAAAATCGCTCACGCTCACGGACGTAAATTGTGTGGCTGTTTGGAATTTATGAGTGCCTCACAGAACTACAAATTCATTAGAATCTTGGCATAAAGGTATTTAAAATAAAGTTAAAGACAGCTTGCAAAAAACACCAATTTTTTCACAAAGAAATTTTAGAAAACGATTGCGAATGTATATAAAAAGCAAAGAGATTTAAATATATTATATTACACAACGGAACCCACGCAACCACTATGAAATCATGCGGAAATAGTGGCCGCTGGAAACAAAGCAACTACGTCGACATTTTGTCGCATAGCCACAACGCAACTGCAAAAAGCTGCAGTGACACTATTCACACGTGACCACATTTTGTCGCTGCAGTGTGATGTGCTTGTGGGACGTGTGGGTCGATCCTAAAAGTCTTTACATGATATATCATTATACAAACCATTCACAAGTTAGCGCGCTTACTGATAAAATGAGCACCTTTGTCTATCTCTTCAATTTCAGGGCACTTCCCTTGTTGCCGCAGCCAGAATCGGAATCTTCAGTGTCGACATATCGAACGACCTGCAGTGTCGTGGTCACTTGGAAGAGAAAGCTAAATTGGCTTCTAAAAAGCTTAGTGTACTCAGTAGAGCAGGACAGTATTTCATTCCAGCACACCGTTTGCAACTTTACAATGCGCCGCCTCACACATCCTCATATGGATACTTCTCATCTCTGGGCTGGGGTTCCCCAGTGCTGCTCGCACTTCCTTCCACTTGACCGCATATAGCGCAGAGCGAACGACTACTATAACGATTCGAATCGTCGACGTCCGAGTTCATTCACTGGCGCTGCGTAGAGATGTTGCATTCCTTTGCGTTTTCTATCATATTTACCACGGGAAGTGCTCCGAGGAAATTCCCAACGTTTCCATCCATATCATTTGGCTGCTTGCTGGTGCACTACCGTGCGATTTATTAGGAGTTTTCTTCCTCGTACAAATATTTTTTGGAATCGTTTACCATCGCGACTTTTACGAATCGATATGACTTAGAGACCTTCAAGAAATGAGCTTACTTCTTTTTTAAAGGCCTGCAAAGCATTTACAATTCTCTTAGTGTTGTAGAACTGTATTAATTAAAAAAAGACTGACTACCTGACTGGTTGTACTGGTTGTATTGGCTAACATAGACGTTTCACGTTAAAATGAACAGCCGTGTGCCCCGATACAAACTCATCCGATTTCGATCGATCGACAAATAGTCCAACTAGGTAAGTCCAACTTCGACCGAGAGGTCAATCGACGGATTCAACTCGGCTGGGCAGCGTTCGGGAAATTACGACAAATCTTCTCGTCAGGTATACCTCAATCTCTGAAAACTAAAGTGTATAACCAGTGCGTGTTGCCGGTGATGATTTACGGATATACGACGTGGTCCTTCACTGCTGGCCGTATGAAGACGCTTAAGGTCGCTCAGCGAGCTATGGAGAGGGCTATGCTCGGAGTTTCTCTACGTGATAGACTCAGAAATGATATCTGCAGTAAAACCAGAGTGACCGACATAGCCCAACGGATTAGTAAGCTGAAGTGGCAATGGGCCGGCCATATAGCTCGGAGAGCCGATAACCGATGGGGAAGAAAGGTTCTCGAGTGGCAGCCTCGTACCGGTAGGCGTAGTGTAGGGCGACCCTCCACTAGATGGAGTGACGACCTGGTAAGACATGCAGGAAGTCGATGGATGTAGGTTGCTCAGGATCGTGCTTTGTGGCATTACTTTGGGGAGGCCTATGTTCAGCAGTGGACTTGTGAAAGGCTGTAATGATGATGATGAATTGGCATCCTGTACATATTTTTAGCGCATAGCGCATGTGTTCAAAAGAGAACTCATTTTGCAAACGAAACAGGACTGTATTACTGCTAAAGTATTAAATAATAATGCCAACATTTCATAAATAAAAATTTATTCAAAAAGTTAAATATTTCGTTTATTTATCTTACACTTTTTCTTATGGTTTTTTATATATATTATCTTTGAGTAATTCAACAGAGCTTCATCACCAGTATTGGCAGTCCCGCTGTTGGATCATTCGGTTCCGCTGTTCTATCCGTCTTTGTATCTTTTGGAGCACAACCTGTATACAGAATATAAATGAGTTAATTTTAAATAAAAATATAATACAGAATTTAAACATGTTAATTTTAAATAATTTATATGGTTCTCCCAATGCTATATTTTCTAAAAAGATTTTAGTGGCTTTGCTACTACTAGTCTCGCGATACGTCAGTCGACGGATTCAACTCGCCTTCACAGCGTTCGGAAGATTACGACACATCTCGTCAGGTATATTCAAAACTCCGATGTGTATTGCCAGTGACAAGCTATGTGTCTGGGACGTGGTCCTTCACTGCTGGCCGTATGAGCCAGCTCAAGGTCGCTAAGCGAGCTATGGAGAGGGCTATGCTCGTTGTTTCTTTTCGTGATAAACATAGAAATGAGGATATCCGCAGTAGAAACAGAGTAGCCGACATAGCCCAACGGATTAGTAGGTTATCCCGTTGGTATTAAGTTTTTATTCATTATCTTTTTAAAAGTTAAAACTGACTTCAAAAAAGAAGGTTTTCATTTCGACTTTCCGTGTTTTACATGAATTTTTCATCAAATCTGAACAGGTTTCAATTATTCTTCATTATAAGGGTCGTCCCACACGTACCACAATAACACCACATTGCAGCGACAAAATGTAGTCACGTCTAAATAGTACCGCTGCAGCTTTTTGCACTTGCGTCGTGGTTATGCGACGAAATGTCGATGTGGTTATATTGTCACACAGGTCGACTCCGGCTCTCATAGAGGAAAAACACCTACTATCATGGAATTAGAATAGAAAACATTGTTGTTGCTATCCTTGTTAAGGGTTTTATTAAGAAGAAGACGACGAAAACGTCAGCGTAGTCGTCAATATAATTTATTGGGTAAATCCACCCGTACTTTATAATAAAGTATTGTGCGTTATTTTGGGTAATTGTATTCTATATGTACGCTTAAAAATATTTATGAATAAAGAGAAAAATGTTAAGATGCTCTGTAATTATTTAACTAACAATAATTTATTGAAACTTGCAAAAGGCTATAAAAATATTTTTTTATAAATAATGCTAAAGGGAAAGAAGACTTTATTCTAACACTTTGTATTTTTTTCTTATCTTTAATCACCAATGTACTTTCATTGCAAAAATAACAAGATGGAAACCTTTTTCGATCCTGTCAATATCACTGATCAGGGCAGTTTCCGTAGATTTGCCTCTGCGGTAAGCATGCTGGTTGTAATATATGGGCCTCGTAGCTAGAGCTACATTTCTTATACATTTAATATAATCTATAACCTTTTCCAACGTCTTAAGAAGAAAGGCAGATAGGCTTATAGGTCTAAAGGACTTTGGTAAAGCGTAATCCTTTCTACCGGCCTTAGGTATAAAATAAATAGAACTTTGACAATAAGATAATTTGACAAACTTATATTTCATTGCAAAAACATGGGGTCGACGCAACGTCGTGTTTGCGAAATGGCCGGCCGCTAGTTCCGTGTGGTTCCGTGGTGGTTGTGTCGTGATTGCGTTGTGGTCGGTATCACTCACGCCGTCGACATTGACGACAAAATGTGGTACATGTAAATTGTACTATTCATGTCCTATACTATGCCACGTGTTGTGGTTGTGGTTGTGGTCGTTGTGGTGTGGTTGTGGTTGTAGTTGTGGTGTGATTGTGGTTGTGATACGTGTGGGTAGACCCTTAAATTATTATTTACTAATTCTATATAAATTTAGAGAAAAGCCAACATGAGCCAGGATGCCATAGGTGAAATTTTTAATGTATATCTTTAAAAGACATTGATATTGTGATCTTCCATAGTCCCCCGAAAGGGTAAACTATAACTTAGAGAAAAAAAATTAATTTCAAATTTTGTAGTCGGAGGCATCATCATCCATTATATTCAGCACCGACTTCAAAAGGGGAAATTAGTACATAATTATATTCCTTTTCATTCTTTTAAGTCAGCCTTTACTTTTTTCTTTTATTTGAACGGAATTCTCAAAAAAGTTCAAGTTTTTATTGTCATAAAAAAACCTGCTTAAAATGGTATATTGTAAGTGTTATTAAACATATTAAAAGAAAATAAGGATAATAAATTATAAGCTAATTTACTTACATGTTTTAGTGGAATCTTGAGGCGGATGTGGTGCAACACTTTTTAGCTCGCAGACAATAAATCTTTTGCCGCTCTTAGCAATGGCATCTTCTGATATTCCAGTAATATTTCCTGTGTGCTTTGCAAGAGGAGCGGGATCTGCCAGACCATGTGCGCGTGCTAACTGACTAGGCGCGCATAAAGGATCCGGCAAAACCAAGCAAGGGGGCTCCCCACCACATCCAGTGCGACGGCAATCGTGTTGAAGACCGTTGCGCTTGATACAATGGCAACTATAATACATAATGCCACCACGCAATTCTCGACTCTTTATTCTTTTCAAATTATTCTCTTTCTCCGATTTTTGTGCACCGCCCTCAGATTTTTCTGTTTCATCGGAAGTCTTTCTTTTCTAAAACGAAAACATAAATAAATCATTGAACATACAGCCCGCTATGCCCGCCGTGTTTTGAATAAAGATCGACACACACCCACTACAACGTTCCATTCCATGACCGTAACTCTGTCAGCACATATAAAAAATCTTTTTCCACAGGAATGTAAGCAAATTCACGAGTAGAATATTTGGCAGGCAGGATGTTACCAAAACGCTCTGTGCAGGTGACCATCTGCGTTTTAACCGCGTATGCTTACCATTGTTCAAAATATAACCACCATTACTAATTCTCTTACAGATCAACATAGAGGCATACTAAAAGATTTATTGGTGTCCCCGATTTGGTAGAAAATTTTGTTTGTCTCGAATAGAGGAGCAGAGTGGTTACCCTCTCGATGTTCTATAGGATACACAAGAGTCGTCACGGAAAGTGTGCGCAGGAATTACATGATTTAATTCCCCAGTCCCCTTTCTACTATCAGGCAACCAGACGTTCGGCGTTTCTACACTCCTTAGTTGTTGATATTCACGCATTCGATTTTCTTCGTCCTTTATAATGAGTCAAAAAAAGTGGAATCGTTTGCAAGCGTCTTCCCATCCAAATGTAATATGAGTATATTCGAAGTAAGAGTGAATAGACTTTGTTACGATTAGACAAACTAATGGCACACGTGCCATTGATGGCACGCGACTCAATATTTTGGGCACGCCACCAATCACAAAGTTCACTACGAAGTAATATATTACGAAAGAACGCGAGTAATCCTAGTTACCTACATCGTGGACTACTATTGCTAATGACGCATAGTTCGCTTCATCATCATCATCATTACAGCCCTTCACAAGGCCATGCCTCCCTCAAGGAATGCATAATTCATTTACGCATAGCTTAATAGTAGATTTCGTTGACACAACTGTGTTTAAAAGTTCATTTGTGTTATATTTATGATTTTACATAAATATAACACAAATATAACATTTTATGTTCTAGAGAACGTAGTAGTGACTCCCGTGTTTTAGTACCCCGACATGTTTATAACACGTTCATAGTATGAGCCATTGTAGTGGGTCGAGACCTTAAGCATTACCGAGAGATTTAACGAGCGACGCCACAGACTTCTACCACTGCGACAGAAGATCGAAGTCGCTGAAGCGAGTTACGTAGGTCTTGCCAGGTGGAGGGCGTCGCACACACGGCGGACAACATGGCGGGCATGGTCGAGGGCAGCAGGGACCATCTCGACATAGATAGCGTATAGAGCCTTGTTGGAAGAATTGATGATCCTGAAGTCCATTACGTTTAAAGGCAGACCGTGGGAGACACTGAAGCTAAATAAATAATACAATTATAGCAAAAATGCTAAACAGTAATACACATCATGAGTATAAAATGTTTAATTTATTGGAAAAAAATAATAATATAAAATACAGGAATTAAAAAACATTTACTGTTCTTAATTTAGACATAAAGTCTTATGCCGTTTTGCATGCTGCAAAATATTTTGAATATTGAAATAAATACTTAACTAGGTAATCAATTACGTTAAAACAGAAAATAGTTACAAAACCGTTATTAAAAATAACTATAAAATATTATTGGTACTAAAGCGTATACCTTCTACATTTTATGAGTTTTCCGTGTAGTTCTACTATTAATTCTACGATAAATAAAAATGAACATGTTTTCCAATCATTTCTAATTAAAATTTCAATAAGGCTAGATTTTTTTTTATAGAATAAGGGCGACAAACGAGCACACAGTCCACCTGATAGTAAATGGATGCTGTGGCCCATAAGACATCTACATTTATCCTTAATTAAGAATTAAAACGCAGCCACCTCTAAGGACTAAGATGGAATGCCTCGTTTCCAGTAAAAAAGTGTCTTCGGATCTCTACACTCACCATACGAAGCACAGATTTTAGACTGGTATTCTGTGAGAGCGTGGTCCTTACCCGGTCGAGCCGACCCATTCGTGCTACAACCATAATAATATAGCTTTTCATAGATTTTTTTAAATATATGATGAATTTCAAACAACAAACTCACCTTTGAGGTAAAGTATACCGAACGTGATTATGCTTTGTTCCGAGGTATTCAATCAGTGATAATGATTAATGACAACGCATCTGATATTAAATTAACGCTTTAAGTTATACTGCTACTATTAGTAAAACTAGTTAGACGAAACCCATTATCCTTTCACATTCTCAATCCTCATTCTTACACAATATTTAACAGCTTACTTGAGAGAAATACATGGTCTATGGTCTGTTTTCTACGGAGAAATAGATGCAGCAAGTCGATGGTATGCAGATAGTACAGAACTACTTTGTGGAATCCAGTGATCAGCAATGGACTTGTGATGGGCTTTGATGACGATGATGATGATGGTGTCCATTCATTTTATTATGTGATCAGCGAATAATATTCAACGCAATAATATAAAAAATGAACAACGTAAAGTAACATCTGTAATGCATTTGTGTACGTAAGTTCATTGGTCATACGTATTGTAAATTATTTATATTAAGCATGTATACATACATAAATATGACGAACAAATAACCATTCCACTTTTTGGTATGTGAGTAGTGTGGTTAAAAAACTACAGACGAGTATTCCAGTAATTAGACTGAGGACTAATTATTGGAACCTCGTCCAAAATAGAGCATATTAGACACTATTTACGCAGGAATTTTTTATCTGCAAGAGTTAAGCTTAGCTGTTTATTTTTATCTGATTTAAATTAAAAAATAAAATGTAGAACTACATAAGCGATATTTACTAAATTTATTCAAATCCAAAATAAACTGTTCATTTCGTTCTATCGTATAAGATCTAGTTAATTAAACACTTTTCTTACATCGTCACTAAAATTAGTTATATTATCTAAACAACACATTATATTAAATATATAAGGCAAATTTTATCTTGTATATATACAAGATAAATTTTATCTTGTATTATTGCCGTATGCCACTTTTTTGAGAAACGGAATCTTTAGATACAACTGTACACAATAATGGCGGATATCTGTGATCTTTAATTATTCTGCAAAGCAGAAAGTTTCAAACAATTGTGGAAAGTCCGATTTAGAAATATAGAAATGCATGAATACAACTCTTTCATTTGTCATCATTTTCATTTCTGTTTAAGCTAGAAAAGATTTTGAGATGTAACCACCATTAATAATAATTTCCAAAAAATTTAAAAAAGCAAATAAATTTAATTTAAAAACGAAATGTGTTTTAATAACATACATCCCTTTTCTCCTATTTCAATTAATGACAAAATTTTCGAAAATAGTTTATAATATTTATCATAATAAACATAGGTACTGATAATAATAAAATTGAGCTTACCGGTGGGCCACAGTCTTCGTATTTGTAGCATACCATAGGACCACAAGGAGAACACCTATTAAAATACATTTTTAGTTCTATCTAATCGAATTCTGTAGAACATTACAGAGATTTCATCATTATAATACTTACATTTTTATTCCGATCTTAATAAGAGGGGGTTTTGATATTTATTTATAAAATTTTATTTATTTTAAATTACTTACAAATTTTGAAACTTGTTTATTAAACTTTAAATTTTTATAAAAAATACATCTGTTCAAATTGAAGCAAAGATTTCCTTTGTCAATAAATTCTTCATTTGATTTTTGTATGTACGATTTTTTTACATATTTTCTATCTCCAATTCTATAATGCCAGTACGACAACATACCAAGAAGATTCTATAGAAGAAAAAAGCTTTGAATACAGTGGGCGTCTGTGGTGATAAATTCATATTACTCGAGATAAGTTTCTTGTCAGAATCTTAATGTTTGTCATCATGTCATGTCAACCCGCAAATCTTTATTTTAATGTTTTAAATTGCATTTCATTAAAAACCACGCATCCTGCAAATACTGCTTAAAGCTTCTGCGTGAGGGTTTGCATAATGTTTCATGCATGCCATGCTAGACGGCCCACATACTGGACTGGGTAAAACTTGGCAATAGGGTGAAGTTTGACATCCGCTTCTACGGCAATCATACTGCAACCCATTCCTACGTAAGCAAAAGCAGTCCGTGTAAAGGATGCCACCTCTTAACTCCCGACTTTGACAGCCTTTCAGTGGTGTACATAGTCCCATAATGATTTTCTGTAAATAATTCACTTTAAATGCCTTAATTTTCATCGAAAACTATCACAAAATATGTTATTATATAATACTTGAGCACTAAAATTTACAACAGTTTATAATGTTTTTTTCTATTGAATTTAAACTTCAATTTTTACATTTAGAGATATGAAAATTATTTAATATACAGATATGTTTTAATTCCAGGTGGTTTCGTGCGTTCGTTTTATAAATTTTAAAATCTATGTGGTCGTTAAAACAAATGTTATACGTATAAATGATTAACACCATTAAACTTATGTTTTAAAATAAAATATAATGCCTCTCAATCAAACAAAAAGAAAACACAACTACAGACATTTCACTACTCATTCTAATATGGTACCTAAGTAGATGCTGTGGCCCATAGACCTCTACATTTGTCCCCTACATGAAACACCTTGTGGACTGAGATGGAAATATCTCGTTTTCGGTAAAAAGGATTTCTGGTTCTCTACACTCAATATACGAAACACAGCAGCATTAAACCCATATTTTCAGATGGTACTCTCGTGATCTTTCCCCATTAGAGGCGACCCATTTGTGCTACATAATGTGTATTCTGATCGTAAGTGCAGCTTCCCCGTTCAAAGGCCGAAGCGAGACCAACTGTAACTGGGCGGCAGAAAACAAGGTTTAAGATGCCGATAGTTTAGGTAATTTCTTTTTACAGTGAAAATAATGGTAATTTAAAAAAAAACATAAGCCTTGCTTTATTGTTAGTTCAGTTAGTATGCAAAGTTTCATGATCCAATTTAAAGTAATTTATGAATAACAGCGGTTTATTGTTCAGTTTAGAGGTAACTTTGGATTTTTTCTATCGAGAAAATTTTACGGAATCGTGCTTTCGTCTAACATAGTACTTAAAATTAATCCTCAACTTTACCATATATTTATTTCAAAATTAATGCTGCAATATTTTCGGCATAACGGAGGATCTTGCTAAGCCATTTGACGTAGTATTTTTAATATTTCCCCTTAAGAATATGCATATTCTTAACTAAATCGTAACTCTATTAATAATTCTTGCATTTTCGCATCATTCACAGCTGTTCTGTGATATACATATTATATAGAACACAATGCTTTTCAGATTAAAGATTAAAGAAGAGTATAAGTACTACACATGTTTAATGTTGTTATTAAGTGTTAATGTGGTAGCCGTCGTAGATGAGGGTAAAACATGTGGGGAAAATAGCTCGCGTAAGCGCTCGCTGTAAATTTCACAGTGCCCGGGTTCGAGTCCCGCAGAAACCGAGGAGATTGTTAATCGCAATTTTAAATAATGACTTACTACGTATTCGGCATGAAGTAATACATCGTGAAAAAACCTGCAGTTCGGAGAAATAAAAAATATGATTTTTTTATGTTTACCCAAATACTAAACATTGCATAAAGCTAATTTTACGGATTTGAGAGTTTTTAACTTAATTCATTTTAATTGTCGACGTTTTGGGTCAGTCGTTGCTCGTGGTCACGGGAGGGGGACTGAGGTATTTGACGTCTCGGTGTCTTAACGAACTGAAACCCGAACTGAAAAAATATGATTTTTTATGTTTACCCAAATACTAAACATTGCATAAAACTAATTTACGAGAAGTTTTTAACTTAATTCATTTAATTGTCGACGTTTTGGGTCAGTCGTTGCCCGTGGTCACGGGAGGAGGACTGAGGTATTTGACTCTCGGTGTCTTAACCCGAACTGAAAAAATATGATTTTTTATGTTTACCCAAATACTAAACATTGCATAAAACTAATTTTATGGATTTGAGGGTTTTTAACTTAATTCATCTTAATTGTCGACGTTTTGGGTCAGTCGTTGCCCGTGGTCACGGGGGGGGACTGAGGTATTTGACGTCTCGGTGTCTTAACCCGAACTACCGATCCGATCTTTGCAGAACGAGCTTATAGTATCTTGAAGTCTGGCAGTAGTATGGTTTGGTTTAGATTTAATTTTATTAATTATAGGATCCCAATGCGAAGCACCGACGCTCCGGAAGTATGCAGTTTGAAAAATATAGTCAAGATCATCCACAATATAACGCAAGATTTGATAAACCACAAATCCTCGCAGAAGAATACCGATTCCTTTTAATAATGATTTGCGAGATTATTGAAATTTAAAAATATCTAAATTTTAATAGAGAACATGGCTGGGTGCTATCACCTGCTTGGCATCCTATAATTAATTAAATTAATTTAAGCCCTAAGTATACCACTGCAATACTTCAGGATATAAGCTCGTTCTGCGGTGATCAGATTCGGTAAAATTATTATTTAAAAACAGAAGGAAGCCCGAGTTAACTATGACATCCGGATATCAAATACATCAGTCTCTTCGTAACCATGGGTGCTGTAAATAAATCACTCGAAATATCGGGGGTAAAAAAAGTAAAAATAAGGTAAATTAAACGCAGTAAAATGCGTAAAATTAGTCTTACTAAAAATTTTTTGAAGACATGTGTGAAGTCCGCCATCATGCATTAGGGCAATGCATAGATATAATAATGAAGTATTTCTATGGGGCAATGCATTGGACACTTCCATAACATAAACCCCTCACGGAAATGAGAGAAGGAATTCAAGCTAACGGAACGTATATCGATTGTAATTTTACTGTACGTATATTAAAGTAATATTAGTGTTTTAATTTAAGTATAAAGTCTTAGCTTTTAGTTAGTTAATATTTGTTAGGCCAAAGGCCATTAAAATCTTTTTAAAAAGTCAATCTGTGTTTCTATTTGTAACAGTAGTATTAGTATTTGTGTATTGATTATCTATGATATTATCTGGAGCCATATCCGTTATAATCACAGTGAATTTTTTTTAGATACTAATCCAAAGCTATATAAAATATAATAATAAATGTAAAAGAAGTTATATTAAAATTTTTATTTTTTGTGTAATCGTATTATAAATTATGTAATTTTATTATAATTGTATTATTTCGTCATCATATTTAATTATAAATTATTTATAAATAGGTAAAATTAGCTCGCCAACGATGCACGCCTTGGTAGCCTATAATTATTAGGACAACATTTACTTCTAAATCCTAGAATAGAAATAGTGTAACATAACAAACAATGTATGTCTAGTTGGTTATCTGTAATAAAATAAATGTTTATTTTTTATACATTCATTTTTAATACATTTTATTACCTTAAAATCTGACAATTATATACTAGCGGTTAAGCGCGTTTATTTTATCGCTCTGTTACAATTACTGGCAGCTCATATATCACTGCTATGAAACAATTTTTTATATTTGGATTTTATTATTCCTTATTCAAATTCGTTCGGAGGTGATTTATAAGAAGAAGTCAATTTATTCATCAGTACAATTAAATCTCTTGCGGAATACGTACATACTTAAAAAGACCAAAAAAAATTTATCTGTCCTAAAATAAAACCAAAATACTTAACCTCCTACATCCTTTCAGATTTTCTCTTTAATTTGGATTTTGTACTCATCCAAAAATGTAAGGTATTCGAAAGATTCTAGATAAGAGAAACGCTTTAGAAGGGAATATTAAAATGTTAATTTTTGCAGGTGCGGACCTTGCGGTGGTGGATGCTGTGGTGGATGCTGTAGTGGCGGGTGCAGCGGACCATGTTGTCCATGCATCACTATCTACACGTGCTGTACGAAGATTTGTTAATGCGTTGTCGTGGCCAGTGTCTGCAACATTTCGTCTCACCATATTTTAATCGGTGCCGTTACGTGAAATAAAATATGTATAAGCATAATTTTAGCTTTTATTCGTCCTATCTTATTTTACTTCATTATAGTAAATGTATGGTGTTATAAAGTCAATACTCCTCATGGTATTGTCAAACACTGGCGGAATTTCCTCCCTATGTGGTCCCTGAGGGAACAAGCTGGGAATTCGCGAAATACATTGCGAAAAATTTTGCAGTCCTAAAACAATTTAGAATAAATCCTGAAATTTGATATATAAAAAGTTATCCACCCCTAAAGGTACCCACTGACGATACGTTCATTTAGTAGACTTCAAAATGGATGCACTCCAAATGAAAATTTATCCGGATACGGTACCATGAGGATACTTGTTTGGACGAATGGCGTCACTTCGAACTTGGCAGTCGTACGGTACGGAAATAAATAATATATGGATAATACCTTACTGGTGACTGCAACAGCGTGTATTTCATTAAGAAAAAAAACCTTACGGGGCAATCCATCGTATTCTTCAAAGATAG